GGAAGTCAGTGATGACAGGAGAAACATCTCAACGCTGATAGGCTGTCACGCCGCAGTGTCACGCCATTTGTTTTGCCAAAGTTCAAAAATTTCAACTCACGCGTTTTGGGTGTTTGTGGCGTTTTGGCGAATGGTGCCGCGCCAAACGCGCCACGCCATCACAAATTCGCGTAACTCCAGTCTCATCGCGTCTGTGCATAGACTTTGTATGTAATCTACTCGCGCCGCGTCTGGTGTGAACACGGCATTAGGCTACTTCTTTGCTTCACACAAGCCAATGCCTTTAGAAAGGTCAGTGGCCAGATTTGATCAGCATTGTTCAGTGAGAAACTTCATTTTACATTTGTATATCTGAATTGATCTTAAATTTGATTCATCATAAATAGAACATGACAGCTCCCCAAAAGTGAAGCCCAAACTCTCTTGATCGCCCCCTGGTGGCTGGCTGCAGTAAATAAATCCCCAAACTTTGAATAGCTGTGATAGTCTGTTTCAAACATGATCTTTACAGACAGTCTACGGTTCATACAGCCAACTATTGTGTTGCTAGCTAGCTTAGCAACATTTCCACTGACTTAGTGAGGTTAGCCAGAGCTGTAGGACCGTCATGTGAAAGAAGAATCATGAGCTGTGTCATAGAACATGCATCACTTTCATCCTAAATGTATTCACAGAGATATTAAGTTCAGGTGTTGTGTCTTTTAGCCAAACGGCTACCATGGAGCTAATGTAGCAGCTAGGTGACTAACGCTAACGAGCTGCTGCAGTGCTCGGGGTGTCTGGGCAGGGACCCGATCACAGCTGGATACTCTGGCTCCAAATGATGTCAAAAGTGCAAGATGGCAGCGCCTCTATCTGGGATATTTGGGCTTCCCTTTTGTACAGTGGGAGGAAGTGGAGATGCGTCGTCCATCTATACATACAATCTATGATCTTAGCGGTAATGAACAGTATTATGTCACATCAACCCTGTATTACACAACACCTTAACAATGCTGCTAGTGTCACACACACACTTCTTTTCCCATGAGAGGAATAGATTCTCTTGTGTTTGAGGCACACCCCTGTTGAGCATGGCATATTTGGGCTTAGTTTGGCTACTGACTGACATGTCATGTCTTCAGCCTGAAGTCAAGCTCTTATTTCACATAATGGGAAGAGGAAGACTCCTTCCTGTAGACAACAGATTGTACTGTCCACCTTTAATTAATTACATTTCCATTCTGTATTCCCGTAATCAAATGTGATGATTAGGAAAGGCTCGTAGGGTTACACTGACAGTCTTCTGGACACAGTATTCCCATTGATTTCTAATGGAGATGTTTTTTCTGCCTATTTAATACATCGTTCCCAGAGTCTTGCTCTTTTCCTGATCACAACAGTGCTTTATAGCCACAGAATAAAGGGGGAGTCTCTGTTCAGAGTGGAAAATTGTTCAAGAGGAATGTCATTCAGCATCCACTCCACCCTGCACACTCTGCACACAGAGACCCCGCTGTGTTCCCAGCTTCCTGCTAACTGACTGTCTTAGCACATTTTCGACCTTTGGTGAGCACACGTGCTTTGCAAAGATCACTGGTATAAAAAAAAATACACACGCACACTCGGACACAAAGACAAACCCACGCAAGCCTGTGCAAGAGGTTACATGTCTGCAGTTTTTCAGCGGTTACCATATGTGCACCGGTATTGATGAGCATACTCTAGTTCATACTGTGTCCATGATAAATACAAAGGACACACATTCATCTCAGATAAGTGATGTAGTAGCGCTGCCACTGTAATAATATGCACAGCTGGAAGGATGTGCATACCCTCCAGTACTAGTTAGCCAGCTTGCATGCATTATTTTTAAATAACTACAGCGTTCATTATTCCCCCGTATGCTGCATCCCAGATTCCACTGGGAATTTTGCTTTATAATATGTGTGTTCTGACATGACATAAACATTCACTTAAAGGATAAGGCTGTTGATATTCTATATACGTTTCTTATTGTCAACAAATCTAATGAAGAGACTAAACCAAAGCAATGTGTTAGTGTCTCTCAATACCTTCTGACTTCCCTGTACAGACACAGTACTTCCAAGGAGTTGTTGACTATAGGAAAAATACAGAATTTTGAATAATTTTGAAGATCACCAGACCTCTAGAGTAGGGGTACGTTTAATGGAGAGATAGCCGTTAAATTGACTGAGTAGATCATCCTCCACAGAGGATGGACCCTTTTCATTTTACACACTGCATGAGCCATTGTGCTGGATTCTCGCGATATCGCAAGGCAGCAACCCCCGGTTCTTTAAGTGAAGCCAAAGCTTCATGTCTTAAAGCTGCATTCTCTCTGGTGACCACCAGGGGGCGACTCCTCTGGTTGTATAGAAGTCTATGAGAAAATGACTCTACTTCTCTCTTGATTTATTACCTCAGTAAACATTGTAAACATGAGTTTATGGTCTCAATCTCTAGTTTCAAGTCTTGTTCAATACAGCATGATGCTCATTTAGTACATTATGGTCCATTTAGAGTCATTAAATTCACCAACCCCAGGGAATAAACCTCTCTGGTTGTAATGACCCATTTGGTTGTAAAGACACTTTGTTCTATCACAATATTTAGGACAGATTTGATTATGGGCTGTAATGAGGAGGTTTTACCTAGGGTTTTAACTTGTACACTTGTTTTTTAAGGCTAATAAAGAAAACTAACGTCCATATCTTTATTAAGTTAAGCCAACAAAATCAGGGTGGCATCACTGGTGCACAGGAAGCTACATTTTTAAATCCTACTATGGTAAATGCATGAGCCGGCCTAGTCTGCCGCTGATTGGGTAATACTCAATACTGTTGGGTTGGTTAGGGTAAGAAAATCAGAGGCAGGGTAGGGTGGGTAATGCTTTCGCCAAAGTAAGAAATTAGCTTTTAGCTATACTGTATGTGGTTGAAGAGATGTTTTGTGCATTTTTACTGTTAAAAAAATAAAGTAAAAAAACAATATCAAATATTGAACATCTTAACTCTGTGTGTACAGGTATCCCTCCTGCCAGTGGGACGGGCACCCTTCAGATGTACCTGCTGGACATAAATGACAATGCGCCTCACGTGTCCCCCCCTGAGGTGGAAATGTGTGAGAAGCCAGATCCGAACGCCATCAACATCACAGCCAGTGACCCCGACCTGACCCCTAACGCTGGACCCTTCGCCTTCGAGCTGGCCAACCGTCCATTAGATGTACGCCGCAACTGGACGCTGAATCGCGTCAATGGTGAGTATGGGCTTGTTATTAATCTTCATTCATTCATTAACTCTCTTACATTCTGTCACCTCTTGAAGGGAAGAATACACCCCAGAATAAAAATAAAGATTATTTATGAAGTCACTCTATATCAAGATCCCATGCTGACAATGTGGGCCTTCTAACAAGCTACTGAAATGACTTTTGTCTCTCGGGTGTCCTGAGTCCAAAAAGGCTTGATTTAGCTCATTATGTACTGTAACTCCACATCCAATCATGTTAACCAGAGTGGCACTTGAGACTTAAACTGAGTCAGACTTAAGTCACAAAAATGATCCATTTATTTGACTTGTACATGGCTGCAAGGAGGCAAGAGTTACTGAAGACCTGACATCCAATGACTGGACATGAGACGTGAAAGCAAAAACATCCAATCGTCACGTTTTATTTCAGAAAAGACAATAGCAATAGAAAAGAAAGGCAGCAGCAATGTCTTATTGATTGAATGCTAATATTGTTAGAATACGTATCAGTTTAACGATTAGCTTAAGCAAGTCAGGATGACTTGCAATTTGCTTATAAAGACTTGTGAATTGACTTGTGACTTGGATTGTCAATTTACATACTTCTGTGGAACAATATTTCAAACCGTCTGCATGTAGAGAGCCACGTGGATCCAATAATTAATAGAGTAGCTAATATCGCTAAAATACTAGGGCAGCCTATAAATGTAAGGGAGTCCCACTGGGATGCTCCTGTTGATTAAGTTGTATCCAGCCTGATTTTATTTTTGAAAGAGATTCTCATCCTCCAGTCCTTGTACCCATTGGCCTGGAAGGCACATTGGATTTGCTGCACTTTACCTCCCCTATCCTTCTGACCACAGTTACATACTAAGGTGTTGAGATATGGTCCTGAGCTCTGGAAAAAGCCACCAAGTGAACCTTGAGTATTCCAAAGGCGAGGGATGAATCTCCACGCTCAAAAACTTGAGCCTTGTATGCAAGACAGATAAATGATCCACTTTCTGCTCTTAGATTAAAGCCATGTTACAAGGTAAATGTGGGCCTGCTGAACTCGCTGGGGAACCATTACATCATGTGGCAGTAGCTATTTAGAAAGAGAGATTTTGTTCTTCTTTTCACTCCAGTGTTTTTGGATTGATAATTGTTTTGGTGTAAACTTCGGGTGAAGTTTATATTCCTATATCTGTTTTTATTTTAGTTGGGTATTGGGTATCATTGAAAATCTGCAGAACTCTTCTATCCATCAGTTACTGCTGTTGAAATGTTTTTTGCAATGCAAAGAACCGCCAGCTGCTCCTGTGACTCCCAGTGTAATGGAGTGGGGGGCCATGAAAGATGAAGACGGATGAAGTCCGTAAGTGAGGGATTACCACGCTTGCCTATCAATCTCTCCATGTGTCTCCCCTTCCACCACACCCAAGGCGAGTACGCCCAGCTGAGACTGAGGATTGGCTCCCTGGCAAGTGGGATCTACGAGGTTCCCATCAAGATCACAGACTCCGGCAACCTGCCCATGTCCAACACGTCCTACCTGAGGGTCAAGGTCTGCCAGTGTGATCACCATGGCGACTGTGTGGACATGGAGCGAATCATCGCCGCTGGACTGGGCACCGGAGCCATCATCGCCATCCTCATCTGTATCATCATACTATTAGGTGAGCCTCCCACACACACTGGTTGTTTCTGTAGCACTGGGCTGACCTAACAACATATACAGTGAGGACATGTTACACATTACATAACATACCCCTTGGACTTCAACAGTAGTAAACATAAATGCATAAATGATAGGTGTTTCATTACAGTATGTTCTGCTTACAGACGTGAAAGACAATGTAAATCATTTACAGCAGTCTTCTGAACATGCTTTTCCTAGTAAAGTGTGAACTTACTGGGCTGAAGCCTTTTTGTAAATGTAAATGAGGGTCGACAAATCAATAGAAACACCACTAAAGCCCCTTTCCCACTGGATACAAAAACTCACAAACACTCACTAACATCTGGCTTTTGTGTCCAGTGGAAAAGGTTACAATTGTCATTCATTCTCAACAAATTAGTCTCCGGTAGTCACAGTGGTTTATTTGCCTCCAGCTCTGATCGGCAGTAATCAAACATTTTCCGACGCTTTATTTGTCATCTCAGCCACAAAGTCCGTCCGTCTCCGTCCAAGCAGTGCTCCAACATCGTTCCAAATTAGAGACTGAATAAATAGCAGATATTTTAAAAAACCAACCATGTAACATTTTCACTGGCCTCCATGCTGCTTTGTTATTGTTTACTCACCCTGCTGTCTGATATGTTTGTCAAGAACCGGGAAGAAGAACAGAAATACTCGTCTACTGCCAATAGGAAAGGAGTCCATCACCTATTTTTAGCATCTTTTCCCGCATTTAAAAAAACTGCATATATTTGCTAATTTTGGTGGAATGAGGGTATAACTTCAAAACTGAACACACAGTTAAGTCAACACTCAGTCAACAATCGTTGAGCCTGAGTTTATTAAAAACCCAAACCCAGTCGGTTTGCTCCTGACAGCGAGCAAACCGACCGGGGCCCCCCGAGTGCGGTAATCCGGCCATGGCCACCTCTTGTGCCATAGGAAGGAAAGGTATCGTTTTACTCCATCTGTTGTTTGCATTCAACAGCAAGGAAATCAACACTTTTGTTCCATTTGTAGCCCTGCCAGCAGCTAGCATCAGTCTGTGAGTGGAGCTCGTTTGGTAAAGCATAGGTTTGCCATGGCAGAGATCCCAGGCTCTAATCCCAAGTGTGGATGTCAAGCTGCTTGCAGTTCTTCTTGTTATCAAGTGGCACTTCATGTGTTTGGACACTGTGCATAGATGGCTGTAGAGCTGCTTCCTCACTATAATGCTACAAGGTGACAGCTGAGTGGACAAACACACTTGGCTCAGCTCTTACTGAGTGCTCAGCTGGAGTTATAAAAAAGATTATGATCAAGGAAGAGTGCACTTGGAGTTACTGTATCGGACAAGAGAGAAGACGAGCGTTCAAGTACTCTTACAAAGAGAACTGAAGCCCCAGTCTGCTACACGCAAATCACACGCAAATCCATCAAATAATTAAACAAGGAATACCAAGCAAGATGGTGCTCTGACTCATAGAGGGTTTCACCTACTGCATGCTGTTTTAAAGATTAAATTCAGTTTTTAGATCAAATTTTGATTTGACTGTTACAATAAAAGTACATTTACCAACCAGACTTTTTAATGAGATGAGCTTGTACCTGAAGCAAAATGACTGAGAGAAGTTGAAATGGCATTTAAACAGTAAGTGCTGAAAAGTTTCACTTGTGAATCACTGAATGAACGTGTATGTGAAGTGCTACATTTAGGTGAAGGTGTCAAGATTCAGTTTAGGTGTAATTGCTGAATTTATTTGAAGTGTGGAGTTAAGTGGAATTTCTGAAGGGAGTTGAAGTGTGTCTAATACTGTAAGCGCTGAAGGAAGT